AAAAGAAGTAAACTACTCAAAAATTATTAAGAAGTCTTGATTATGCACATTAAACTAGTGCCGGGTGATGTGGCCAAAAATGTTTTCAATATATATATTTTTTCTTCATTATCATACAATATCAATATTCATCATGATATTCATTTAGCAATAATAGGGAAGGAAATGTTTTCCACATGTTTGTTAGACCTTGAGAATGAATGTAAACATAACTTGTTTGTTCGCAATTACAACATTTGTAACATTGTTCAATTACCTTTCAATGAAATCCGTTTTATTTTTCCCTAAATTCTATATTTTCTGGATTCAGTGTTTTATGATTTAATACAAATGTATCATCAAAAATAGTGTCTGATGACATGAATTAATAGAACTTGTAATCAGTTGAAAATATAACAATTAATCTACAACAAAACATTGCATTTTATTTTTGTCAAGTAAGATGCTGTAAAACAGAACTGTATTAAACTAAAACATGGATGAAAAATATCTTGGTTGTATGATATTCCTTTAAAATAGTAATACTATTATTATTGCTTTGAGAATTACATTTTAGTATACAGTAGAGATATATTTTTGTCATCATTTTTTCAAGTTAAACTGAACTTTTATTTTGGCAGTTTGTAGTGAAGATCAATGAGTTTCAGTGTGTATTTGGGAGTAGTTTTTCTAAAACCTGAATTTAAATGATACAATATCTCAAGAAAACACATTAAAACATGTATATGTAGATACGTTTATATGTATATAATGTCTAGTTGAGATCTAACAGCACGTTCTCCTTCATGAACTGAGCATCACACAAACACACACATGCACACACACACACACACACACACACACACACACACACACACACACACACACACAGAGAGAGACAGAGACAGTAAAACTCCAACACAAACAAAATGCAAACAGACTGACGATGAGAAAGTGCTGATCCAGGAGTCCAGTGGTGGCAGAACAAGTTAAATAACATTATGTAAGAGCAGCAGGACCTGACACTGCCAAAGCCATCAAACACAACTCACCACAAACCATCCAAATCTCTACAGATATACAGTTCTTCAGTGAGACACACATGAAACACTTCAAAATGTCTGAATGTCATTATGTAGATTGCACAAGCTTAATATTAATTTTAAGCTTAATACTTGTTTGTTTGGTTTGATTTCAATCATGCAATGACATTCAGACATCTTTAAGTGTGACTTAACCCTATAAATCCTACTGTATCATATTTCATTCAACCTCTAAATGATCATCATTATCAAAGTTTGCTGTTAGACCTGTCGCACACAATGCACTCCATGTCTTCTGTCGTCTGATTGATAGTTTAGAGCTTTTTATCAAGAAAAATCTCTTTTAGTATAATTGTACAAACGTCCAGCTTCAGCTGGTGCTTCATGTGTCTTGTTGCTGTCAAATCTTTACTGTTTTTTATCAAGTAAACGTCAGAATAATTGTAGTCATATTTCCAGAAGAACACTTCCTGGACTGAAGCAGTACTGGACTGTCCGTCTCAAATCTGATCCTCGGGATCTTTTGAGGAGCGTTTGTTTCCAGAAGCTTTACTTTCACTGTTCCTCAGCAGAGGAATGATCTTCACAAGCCTCCAGAACATCTCACATCTTCTTAGGAACGTTTATTTCTTCATCTCTCAATCAGCATTGCATTGCATTGCATTATATGTTTGTATTACTGGAGATATAGGGTGACGACTGATATTTATATAATTTAATGTAAGTATCTGCTGTACTCTTATAAAGATTCCATTGATTTACATTACAAGCATCAGAATTTCATCATATAAATATCAGCATATGCACCCAAAATGCACATATGTGTCCCTGGAGCACAAAAGCAGTCTTAAGTCTCTGGGGTATATTTGTAGCAATAGCCCACAATACATTGTATGGGTCAAAATTATCCATGTTTCTTTTATGCCAAAAATCATTAGGATATTAAGTAAAGATCTTGTTCCATGAAGATATTTTGTAAATGTCCTACAGTAAATATATCAAAACTTAATTTTTGATTAGTAATATGCATTGCTAAGAACTTCATTTGGACAACTTTAAAGGCGATTTTCTCAATATTTAGATTTTTTTGCACCCTCAGATTCCAGATTTTCAAATAGTTGCATCTCAGCGAAGCATCTCAATTTAAAAAAATTTGACTGTGAACCTTATGACTGGTTTTGTGGTCCAGGGTCACATATTTGCTCAGTTTGAGTCCCTCTGAATAAAACCGAGTTGTTTTTTTCCTACATATTCTCACTATATCAGACTATATGAGCCATAAAACCTGATGAATCAAATATAAAAAACTGTTCCTTTTCAAAGACTATTATTTCATATTCCAGGTTTTACAGGGTTAAGTGAAGTCTTTTGAGGTCACTGCATACTGACACTGCTGTTGCACAGAAGTGAATGATGAAAGGAAACATCGCAGCGTCTCAGAGCTGAAGATTTGCCCCACAGGCCACTGCAAAACAGCTCAAGCAGCACACGGACCGACGCTGAGAGAGGTGTGAAGGGCACGGATGCCAGCAGCCGGTCAAACCAAATCAACAACACCCACAAGCACCGATCAGAACGAGCTGCCTGCGGTTTGCCATTTATAGAGCCAAAAGTGCATTACTGATGATGCATTTTAAATGTGCTAAGAGAAAGAAACAAAGGAGTTCCTCCTTGCATATCAGCATGAAGTGCTAAACTGCTGCTGATGTGGTTTTGTTTTTAACTAGAACTCAATGTATAACTCTCAGAGGGTTTGAGGACACTGAGCTGCTCCTCGTGTTATTGTAAGTGACGGACGTATGTGTGTCACCATCCCTCCCTGACTCTCCTCCGGCCTGTTAATGTAAACTAACAGCTTTAATGCTACACGTCTGATCCGCTGGGAACCATCAGCACAAAACCTGCACAACTGTGATTACAGCGAGAGAGAGAGAGAGAGAGAGAGAGAGAGAGAGAGAGAGAGAGAGAGCAGCTGGAGATGGAGACTTTATAAAAGACTAAATAAGAGCCTAATGGAAATATTCTGGCCTTTGCACTTGTAGATTATATAATGTCTGTATAATGTTGATGAAAGAAGAGGAAAATATGAGCGTGCACAAAGAACGAAGCCACATTACACAGTAAAAAATGATGTGCGTGTGCGATACTGTTAGTAATTCAAAAAAGCATGAAGATGTGAGATGCATTATTTCATTTAATAAATACAGACAGGCTTTGTGTTCTTTAATAACTACAGATTATTAGCTGAATGCATGCAAAATTAAATCAAATAATAATGCATTTGCATGCTTCAACACATTTTTTAATAATTTAGTCCAATTTCTGCCCAATGCAACCTTATTTTTTATTTCTTTATTTGCAGTTCTGCACAACATCACTCGTCTCTGTTTCACTCTCACATCAGGAGGAGTTTCATTCTTTTTAAATTCAGTACAGAAGAAAAATTCAATGCAGTGACACTTAAACAAATTAAAATGAACTCTGAGATTGTCGTTTGACTTTCCAGAGTAAAACGCAATTTGATGTGAGACAAACAAAAAAGCAAAATGCTGTATGCATGCCTGCGATAGAGAAACTCACATCCAGGGATATGAACGAGCAGAAGAGGTGATAAAGAAGAATCCTCCCCATGCAAAAGCCCAAAAAAGCTCCATCAGAACATCAGGAGACATGCTTCATGAAAATGGCTGAACGCTATTTGATCTGGGTTTGTGTTTGCATTGATGCTGCTCTGATCCACAAACACACGCTTCAATCCACACTTAAAATAAAGCTTCTTACTGTAAAAAAAAAAAATGTAACCTGCAATTGTTACAACGAAGAGCTATTTAAAGATAGTTTTGTTGGTACAAACTGATGTGCAAAGGTTGGTTTAGTGATGTTAAATAATATTTTTGACTTGAATAAAACCATTTTTATGTTACCAATTTTAGTTCACTCCACACATTTAAAATAAAGCTTCTTCAATGATCCTCTAACAATTTATTCATGCAAAAAAAAAAATGGTAACCTGCAATTATTACCGTAAAGAGCTACTTCTTCTAGTGCTGTCAAACGATTAATCATGATTAATCGCATGCAAAATAAACGTTTTTATTTACATAATATATGTATGAGTACTGTGCATATTTATTATGTATATATAAATTCACACACGCAGCATATATTTTGAAAATATTTACATGTATTTACATGCATATATTTATATTCATATAATTTATATTATATAGAAATATATTTAAACATAACATATTTTTCGTGAATACATCCATGCATGTGTGTGTATTTATATATATATATAATAAATATACACAGTACACAAACATATATTATGTAAACAAAAACTTTTTGAATGCGATTAATCGCAATTAATCATTTGACAGCACTAATTTCTACATAATTTAACCCATTAAAATAGTTTTGTTGGTATAAATAGATGTACATAGGTTGGATTGATGTTAATACTTGAATAAAATTTTAAGACCTATTTTTCGCAAATATATCCATGCATGTGTGTGTATATACATAATAAATATACACAGTACACAAACATATATTATGTAAACAAAAACTTTTTGAATCCGATTAATCGCGATTAATCATTTGACAGCACTTATTTCTACATAATTTAACCCATTAAAATAGTTTTGTTGGTATAAATAAATGTACATAGGTTAGATTAGTGACGTTAAATAATACTTTTGACTTGAATAAAACCATTTTTAGGTTAACAATTTTTTTTTTTTTTGGAGATTAAAAAAGTTCTTAAAATTTTAGTAAAGGCTCGTCCGGCGTTTTTGTTTCAAACTGAAACCTTTATTTTTAAAAGTGCAAGTGCACCAGCAGTTTTATGAGCATGCATGATGCCACTTTTAAGGTTCTTCTCATGGATATTGAGAAGAGGGCGGATTTGCACGTGCTGATCACACACACGGGATCATTTATAGCAAGAGAAAGCGAAAGAAAGCCAAGTCCGACCTTTATGCATCCCGGTGAACCGGTCCTTGAGCACCGTGAGCTCGTAGATCTTCCCGAACTCCTCGAACAGCGGCGTGAGGTCTTTCTCGTCCAGGTTGCGCGGGATCTGACCGATGAAGAGCTTGATGGCGTCGTGATCTTTCATGGGAATCGCGCTGTTGAGTCCGTTCATTCTACCGGAGCTGTCCGCGGTGCTGAAGCCATTCTCCGCCGTTACCGAGGCCATCTTTCTCCCTCCCGCGCGCTGTGTCTCCAGCTCTCTACCATCCACTCCTCCTCTCTCTCTCTCTCTCTCTTCCTCTCCCTCTATCACTGCTGTACGCCCCTCTTTTGGTTTTCTTCTTCTTGCGTCTTCTCTCCTCAGGATTCTTTCACTTTCTCCATCTGTCTCTCTCCCCGCGTGTCAGCTGCCACTATGACTCGTGACGTCAGACCGCGCCTTTTGAAGAGATCCTCGGCTCATTTGCATAACAAGTCCGGGCTGGCCAATCACAGGGCGGCGTGAGTGAAGGCGCTCGTGGGGGGCGGAGCGACGAGACAAATGTTTGTACGGCGTTTAAAGGTTTGGATCTCAAAACACGGAGCGATTTTTATAACATTTATAACATGTTTGTGAAGCTGCATTTAGCAGCCTTAGCACTATAATTGGTGGGTATATAAATAACCTCTAAAATAGCTACAATTTAATAATTCTGCCTGAAACAGGGATGAATTCTGGTTAAGTGGGACATTTTTCCCCAGTCATCTCAATGGCAAAAAGTGTCCCAGTTTACCTGAATTCACCCCTAATACCTAAAATTAAAAATATGCATACTGTTTATCGCACACAGCAGGATAAAAAACAACAACACAACTGCAATATTTTATTTTTTTTCAAAAATAACTTTTATTTTTAAATTTACAGTACAGAATAAGTTGATAAAAATGAATTCATGCTTGAGCTTCTTAGCTACATTATTTACATTTTAAATCAATTTAAAAAAGCATTTGTTTGTTTATAACCTTTTGTAGTACAGCAAAGTACCTTGATATTATCCTGGTATTTTTCTATGAACAATAATTAGGCCTACAGTATAAACCATGTTAATCATTCAGTACCATGCTATTATAATCTGATACCATAGGGTTATTATAGCTAACTAAAACTGAAACTAAAATGAAATATAAATAAAAAATATTTTTGTTACTTGAAATAAAATAAACGCTAACTGAAATAAAATAGAAAACACTTTTTTTATTATTTCAGCTAGTTGCCGAGGCAACATTTCTCATTTTGAGTTAGTTTGACTTGATGTACTAAAATAACTAGAACTTAATAAAATAAATAAAAAAATACTAAAAATGACAAAAAAACACAACAGAATTACTAAAACCTTAACTACTATTAAAATGAAAACCTGAAATATAAAATAAAAACATTCAAAATATTAATGAAAATATGTAATAGTATCTAAATGATGCTAAAATAACTCTACCATTGTATAAAACTTCACATTTATGCTTTATATTAATTTAGTGTTAATTCTACACTGATTTTCTGAATAAAAACATTAACTTGACTCATTGTTCTTTTACCTGCATCTCAAATGTCTGTATGTGCCAGTATACAGAAATCATTTAGGGCTACTTCTGCTAAACTTCTTTCTGTTATTAAACTGAATATGATTATTTTTATTGTTTGTCTTTTAAAGATGAACCTGATCGTTTGTAAAAGGCTGGCATCATTCAGATTTTAGATGCATGGCCTATTAAACATGCGGCAGCTGTCCGTGGTGCTGAACTCAATCACACACACACACACACACACAGTCTGCTGCTTCACAGCATTAATAACAGCTACTGAACATAAACAGCAACATGAACACTTACTAGTGGCCCAACTACTGAAACAACGTGTGAAAATAGATGATAATTATGAATTGACTTGTATTTGAGAAAGGCTCTTGTGCTCATATGTGACCCTGGAGCACAAAACCAGTCATAAGGGTCCATTTTTTTAAAATTGAGATTTATACATCATCTGAATAAATAATAAATAAGCTTTCCATTGATGTATGGTTTGTTATGAAAGGACAATATTTGGATGAGGTGCAACTATTTGAAAATCTGGAATCTGAGGGTGCAAAAAAATCAAAATATTGAGAAAATCATCTTTAAAGTTGTTCAAATGAAGTTCTTAGCAATGCATATTACTAATCAAAAATTACGTTTTGATATATTTACGGTAGGACATTTACAAAGTATCTTCATGGAACATGATCTTTACTTAATATCCTAATGATTTTTGGCATAAAAGAAAAAGGGATAATTTTGACCCATACAATGTATTGTTGGCTATTGCTACAAATATACCCCAGCGACTTAACACTGCTTTTGTGCTCCAGGCTCACATATTCTGACACTTGTCTGCTTGCTGTGCAACAGATGACTTTCTTGATTCCATCGCTTCTTAATGATTCTTTCAGTGCTGGATCACCTCAGGGAGCGCAGATCTGCTGGAGCTTTTCTCTCGTTCCTTCGCATGTCGTTTCTAAACGGATCCTGCCGTGTTTTATGAGCTGAGCTGGAGTGGAAACATAACGGCTCTCCTCGTCAACAGCATCAGAGGCTTTCATTTGCATAAAGGCATTGCTAATTTGGCCCCCGTATGGTTTATTTTGCTTGTGATTTTGTGTGCTCCTCAGCTGGGAGCAGCAGCGCAGATGTGATCATCACATCCTAAACGCATGTAAAGACAGACGTTCACACTCACACAGAACCCACTGACTGTACGAAGGCTTTGCACTAAACATTTATCTGTTGATTGCATCTGATTTAAATCTGATGTTAAGTCTATCCTCATAGTAAGTTAGTGAGTGAAGGAATCAGATGCATTTGTTCAGATGCTGATGTCAGTATCTACATTAGTTGCTAAAGTAATGAGCACGACGAGAGTAACTGTCATTAGAACTACTTGAAATGCAATCTGTTCAAACTGAACTGTATTTCCAGAAATCAGATCTGAATCCATTTTTAACCCCATATGAGCATTATATAATGCGTTCTGTTTCATAGTATTTTTAAAGTACAGTCAGCTGTATTCAGATATTATTGTGCAGTATACACTAGAAGTCCATTATGAACACATCTAGATTAAAATTATGCATAAAAATCAATCATTTTCAGAGTTTAGAAATAATATTAGATTATATATAATTTCAGTGTAGGTATGAACTTAATAAAATAGTCTGAAGCAAGGCATACACACACACACACGTATAACTAGACTTCTATTGTTTAATATATTACATTCAATAGTCAGGGTTTCCCAAAAGTAGTGTTCATGAGAAAACTGCAGGGGGTTGTGAATTTATTAACAGCTACTGTAATAATTAAGGTATAAAACGTAAAATAAATAAATAATATTATGAAATACTTTAATTGTTTACCAGCATGCCATGAGACCATTAACTGGTGTGTGTGTGAGTGTGTGCGTGTGTGTGTGTGTGTGTGTATTATGTTTAAATGTTTAAATATAGTTTATAGTAAACATAGCTATAGTTTTATAGTTTTGTTAACTAAATAAATAGTTTGAAACAAATTAGGACTATATCTATTTGTGCTGTAAATTGTTTGTATCAAATGAGGATGTGCCTAAATAGAGGTATTGTTCGATTTAGCTCGTTCCTGGGGACAAACTGTTCTATGGTCTATATTGATCTCCACACATTCAGGGCTCATCTGTGCAGCGACATCAGAGCGATGCAGGACTTCATCTGTTTAAAGCAGCAGCTGGTCTGTTTAGACTCCGTCCGACCCGTAATGCCTCCAGCAGGACGCAGAAAACTGAATAAATCCATGAAAGACAAACACACGAGAGGTCACCCACACTGCCATGAGTCATCCAGCTAATGAATCCCACAATCCTCTCTGGCTGCCGCCGCCCGAGATGAGAAAACACAGCCATAATGAGGAGGAGCAGCAAAATAATGCGCCTGCTGGATACGGCTCTGCTCTGGTTAATCACACCACTTCTGTTTGCTTCTCCAAATACCTGGATTATCATTTTGGCACTCTAAAATATTGCATATATTTAGTAAACAAAATTATGATTTGAGGGGGAACGAAGAGAGAGGACGACTGCACTGTAAAAAGTTTGGCTAATTTTTGCAGAAAATTTCTACAGTACAAAAAAATGGTTTAACTGAACGTTAACTCTAAATGGTTAAACATAAGATTGCATGTAATTTTACTGTGAAATACTGTAAATTTTACATTTAGTCATTTAGCAGACACTTTTATCCAAAATTAGGACAATGGAAGCAATAAAAATCAACAAAAGAGCAATATGTAAGTGTTATAACAAGTCTCAGTTAACTTAATGCCGTACACGTAGCAAGGTTTTTTTATTATATAGTAAATAAAAATAAAACAGGTAGAATAGAAAATGAATAGCGCAAGCTAGTATTAGAGGCCTTTTATGCTTTTTTTATAGTTATTTTGTTTTTATATAGTTAAAACTATGAATTACCATATAATTTACAGTACAGACATCAGATTACATGAATTTTTCTGTAAAATTGTATGGTTTTTGGAAGTAAAAACTATCAATTACCATATAATTTATAGTAAAAACTAAAATAGCATACAATGGTTAAATATCCGATTGCATGCTATTTTGCGGTACAATACTGTAATGTTTATGGTTTTTGCTAGTGAAAACTAACATATAATTCACATTTTACAGTTTAAAAGAAACATCAGGCTTTATGTAATTTTTTCTGTAAAATACTAGAAAGTTTATGGTGTTTGGAAGTAAAAAAAAAACAAAACTATGAATTACCATATAATTTACAGAGATTAAATAAAATGTCAGATTATATGTAATTTTACTGTAAAATAACGTAAATGATAAAATTATAAATTATATTTTACAGTGAAAAACAAAAGGACATGTCAAATATGATATTTTATTTCATTTTTGTTTCTTCTTATTTGTGTTATGACGTTCATTAGGGTGTTTCTAACATTTAATATCATTTAGTTCATGTTTAGTGCATTATTTTAGCTTTACAGGTGTTTTGATGCATGTAGAGCATCTATAGCGTATCTGCTGTATATAGAGCATATCTATATACAAATACTGGCTTTATTTTATGGACAGCCAGCTTACAATGACCTTCAGATTCATCGTGTGGTTTCTGTTTTACCATCTTCATTATTATGGTGCATCTGAAAGTACAAAGCAGATGTGGGTAGTTCAAATAGCTTGGTATAGTAACATTATATCACAATAAAATACTGTTATAAGTTATAAAACAACACGCCATCCTCTAATACCTGAAACAGTGTCACTGTACTTCTACTGTGAATTTCAGGATATTTTTCCTGTGTGTT